AAAAATGTGTTCCGTTGGGAGCATAAAATGTTTTGGCCTTCTTAAAGGGTTTAAAGAGCCGCGTGATGTGTGGGGCCACTGGAAGGTCCATTTCAATGGAGAAAATTAAAGAAGAGGAAGCATTAAATATTGCATTACCCATCTCATGACCGATAGGGCATGTATTTATTTACATTTCAACCCTGACAAAAATACTATGCAGCAATGTCTTCATTTAATCCCCTATTTATAACTTCACATGCTTCTAGAGAGAGAGAGAGAGAGAGAGAGAGGGGGGATACATTGATCATATCGCCTCCCCGTATGTGTTGAAGAGAGAGAAAGGAAAGAAGAGGACTCACATGCATTAATCATGTTGGGAAACCAATCCATATGTGACCAATCGAATAGAATCTCACAGGACAAATTTTGCCTTTGTCGATAAGAGCACGCTATACCATTCTCGTGTCTCTGTACCTCTGCAATTCCAATTCCCTGTCTTCTATATTAATGGAAACCACTCCAAGGGATAGAGAGAGAGAGAGGGAATATCTGGTCACGTTTCGGCCAACATTCGAGGGTAGGAGGGGCAAATGGATGCCTACACGTTTCGTTGAAGACCTAACTTCTCGCAAAAACTAATGTTGTCATATTCATTTGGGTTTGATAAGAAAAATAAAGCAATTTGGGGTATCGGGCGCCGATTACATCGGATTTTTTTACAAAATTTAACGAAATTTAATATTTACATTTAAAAATTAAAAAAAAAATTAAAAAATACTTTTATATAAATATTCTTTTCTTTAGGTCGAAGAGGCCAAAACTTCGGTTGAAATCGGCTCGAAGCAAACCTGAATATGACCATAGCAGCTCGAATCCGATTGAATCAACGGCACCAGACTTCACTTTGCTACAGTCTAGGCCAAAAGTCCAAAAGCTTCGGTCTCTTCGGGCGTCGCAAAGCAGATTTCACAACACTAGTGAAAACAAGCTCAACCCTAGCAATTTTCAAAGCGTGTGGGACTTGCACAAGGCTGAAACCTTACACAACAAAACTAAAGGCGCACCTCCAAATTTTGTGATAAGATGCAATTTTGTGATAAAAAATCGTCACAATGGCCCCAATCTATTTTCATTTCAAGAAATAAAAAATTTTAACTTTAAAGATGGTTTAAATCAAGTAGATTTATAAACACATGAAAATTCTGAAAATATATGGTCCAAATAATATATCGTAAGGTGCACTAATTTTTTCACTTGGAATCTTTTTTTTTGTTCTTTTTTTGGAAAGGTTTCTATAATTCCCCAATTGTATAGAAGTTATACGTTTTCCCCTCTCTCCCGCCATCCAATTTAGATCAAGTGAGTCACTACCATTTGATCGAGATCCAATACCTCATAGTATTTTAATTTTCATTGTTTTTCTATAAAACATATAAATGTGAAATTGGTATATCTCATCATCTCAATGGAGTGCACCTAAAACAAATACAAAATAAATATTCCTGTAAAATAAAATGACCAAACTGCCTTAAAAACTGTTAAGGGTATTTCAATCATTTTATTTTTTCAAAAATATTTACATTATATTTTTCACAAGTGCGAAGCTAAGAGAAGAATAAACGCCTAAATTTTGGTTTTATAATATTTTATAGACAAAATAAAAAATAAAACAGTATAGAGACACGACATTGTAGTTGGGTCCATCTCAACCTCAACCGTTAGATTGGACTTTGCAAGATGGGGGGAAGCATATTACTTCTATACAATAAGAAAAGCATACAAAACTTGCCTCTTTTCTTCATATACATACATCTCCATATCAAAACAACGTAGGCTCTAAACAACCAAATTAGAGCCTACCTTCAAATGGTGTTGAGAAATATGGTTTCAATATCGAAATTTTTTTTGGTAGCTTTAAAATATATTTTCATTTTTATTTATAGAGTCTAAATCTTCAAAAATAATGTAGATCGAGAGATCTATGAAAACTTGAAAATCTTGAAATTTGATGGTTGAAAAGTGTATTACAAATACACAATTTCCAAAACATGAAATCCATTTTTTTATTGTGTCCAAGCATCTTGATATCGATATGATGAATTTGAAGATATTTACGCATCAAAACAATATCTTCTAGTGAAATTTTTGAGGTAGACTCGAATTTGATTGTTTAGAGCCTGGCTCTATATAAACTTTTCCTTGTCCTATTTGCTCAAAAAAAACAACCATTTTTCAATGGATTTTTGTGATGCACCATAATTCTACAATTTAAGGCTGCAACCATGTACACAATCTCTGGAAAGCCCAACACAACATTACGAGATTTTTAGAGAAAAACTGAAAAAGGTGTTACGTCCAAATCAGTGACAAAAGAGTTCCTCAACACTAAGGAAAAACGACCAACCAAATTAAAGAAAAAGATGCATTTCTTGGTTATTTCACATCGTAGAGAGAGGAGGCATTTAATCTACTTTAGGGCCAGTTTGGATGTATTCAAAATTGAAATATTTTAAGATTGCAATTTAAAAATTTTGTGAAAGTGACTTTGACCGTTTTGACAATTGCATGCTTTTGTAAGAATTTTAGATTGCAAGAAAAAAAAATCTTATCTCAAGGCAAAAATTGCCATCCAAAAAAATTCAAGTTAGACTTGAATTTTTTCCACTTCAGTTACGTTTTTCATGCCTCTCTCTCTCTTTCTAACCTTCACATTCTTCCCTCTCCTCCCTGCTTTTCCCTCATCTCCTTCTGATCTCTCTCATGCGCAAAAATAGAACTCAAAGCTCTACTCTCTCTCTCTCTGTCAAAAGCTTTGCAAACAGAGTTATGCTCTCCCTTGTTCAAAACCTAGAGCTCTGCTGCGTAGAAACTCTCTATTTCTCGCTCGTTCAAAACCCAGCTCTGCTGCGAAAAAACTCTCCGCTACTATCAAAAACACCTCGCTCTCCCAAGATCAAGCCCCCTCTTTCGCTTAAAGCTCACAAAGCATCAAAGGCAGTTGTAGAGTAAAAACAGGTACGTCATTTTTCTGGTTTTCTCAATGCCTTCTCTAGGGAAGCTTAAGGCTTTTTCTTTAGGGAATATGTATTCCTCAATCTCTCTCTGTTTGTCTAGGGAAGCTCTTCTGTTTTGTTTCCCTCCATTTATATGGAGAGAGAGCTCTGGTTTTTGGCATCCATCTTTCCAATATTGAGAAAGACTGCATGCGTGCTACTAACCATGCGAGAAAAAGAGCAGCAATTCAATAGAGCAGAAATGGGAGCCATGGCCATGACCTCCACCCAATTACACAATTCAACCCTAGTCTCTAATCTTGCTCAAAGAAGTCTAGTAACCCTGATCCCATAAAGGTGGTATAATATATTCATAAATACTAAGGTTTTCCCTATATTTGGAGGCCAAAAAACTATACCATTATCTATTACAGAGTTGCAGGCTGAGTGGTTTTATACACAAACTGTGAAGCGCAGTTCAAAGTGAAAAAGGCCCCAAATGCCTTTCAAAAACAACCAACGGCATAGGCATCAGCCCCCCAAAAAAATCACCAAAAAACACACACATAAACACAGAATGAAAAACAACAACAGCTCATACGCAGAGAGCTTCATAGGGATTTAGAAACCAATGGCCCCCCAGTTAAAGAGAGAGAGAAAGAAAGAGTTTAGAGAGAGAAAGAGTCACCACTGAGAATGCCTAAAGGAGGCTTGGAATGAAGAAAACCATGAGAAGAACACTACGGATACTTGTCTATTTTTTGCCCTCACTCTTTCTCTCTAATCAGAACCAAGCTGACTACCGAACACCCACAAATAAGGCCATCACCTCTCCGTCGGTACTAGCCTAGTACTCAAACCAACTAATGGGGTTTTTTTGACAAATTAATAAAATAAAACATCCAAACAGTACCAACAGGTCCTTATGCAGCAGATAGTACTCACCACAGAGGTTCACCAAAGTTCCAAATCAAAATAAAATAAAATAAGAGGACTGACCAGGTAATCAGACCAGCATCAGTCGCAATCAGGACTCGCTCCATTCACGTTAAGCCTACGCAATGACACACCCACCATGCTTCAACCATAAGCAAACCCCAAAAATACCAAAAGGCCATTGCCATTATAATATATAATCAAACAACAATTTTTTTTTTTTTTTTTTTTTTGAACAAATTTCAAAATGATAACCAAAATTCGAACTTCCTAACTATAATTTTTCAAATTCAATCCCTCGCACCCCTCTTTCACAAGACATTTTCAAACCATTTTTCCCAACGAATTTCACTCGAAAAAGGACTCATTTTGGCAGAACTAAAACCTGGTCAACAAATCCCATTCCACCTCATAATTGAAAGTTCATTACGCCGAAAGATAAAAGTTCGATGTGCCAGCAGATTAAAAGAAGATTCCATGCCGATAAAAACCAAATCCACCACCAATTTTAAGTCCCCATGTTTCGGGAAACGAGTTCTTCAGAAAACAGTACAATAAATTTGAATATTACAATTTGCATTCACTTTATAAATTCCATCAAAGAATATCAAAATCTAAAAAGGTTCAAATCCTAAAATTTAAAAAAAAACCTTCCTTTCGAGATCACGAATGATTTCAAGAATTTCAAAAGAAGGCCCCCGAAGAATGTTCTGCAATCAAGGGGTACAACCACAGTATGCACCAGCAAGAGCACAGTACAGACTCAAATTCCAACACGCCTTCACCAATCGTTCCGAACCCCAGTTGTTCAACTTTTTCCTCGACAATTCACAGATTCCACCTCGCAACGCGGGACTACCCGACAACACTAAGATACAGCAGCCAGGACAACACCAAAAACGAAATTCAAATTCAAATTCTCAAAAGTAGCCATCCATAGTACTATTTTCAAATATCGTTTTCAATAACATTGCAGAACAAATAAAGAAAAAAAATCGGATCTGCCGCAAAAGTAAAAGAGAAAAAATATCACATCCTCCAGAAACCGCCATCACATTAAAAGTGGTTTCAAAAAAAAAAACACCACACTCAAAAAAAATACCACCGAATATCTTCATTTACTTCCATTAACCAGTTACAGTTACCAACCCTGCATGCCTTCAAAACCGGCTGTTACAGTACGGAAGACTAGAAAGAAAAAAAACATGAGAGAGAGGGAGGGGTAATAGAAATAGAGGTTTATTATCCGAGAGGATTTTGGATTTTGGGGTTTTCCTGCACCCCCTAATTTCTGGTATGAGAAGTCTAGGGGCCACTGACCAAAAAGACTGAGACTTATTAGAGAAGAAAACCCCATCAAAAAACAAACTGTTTCATCTTTCCTCAACAAAACGAGACTTATTTTTTCACCTAACACTAGAGCAACATTCTGCCAATTCAATATCTATTATCTTGTATATATACTTTATCCCCCTGTATCTTCTTCCTTTGTCTTGGAAATTCCCATGCTTTTCACCAAAAAAAGATCGGAGAGGAGAGAGGATAGATTAGCCAAGAGAGAGAGTGGGGGGGGGGGGGGGGGGGGGTTAATAAGTCCATTCTTGAGGTAGGCTGAATTCAGGGTTAGTTGGGGTGGGTTGAGATCTGATGGCTCGCTGCTGCTTAGTATTCGCAACGACAGAGCTCCTGCTCTGTTGATATCGCGGATCGACGGTTCGATAAGCATCTGCAAATACAAGTTTGGAAAAAATTAAAATCACAGGCATTCTAGAATGAGTGAGAAAGAATGGCACATCAAAAGGAAGAGAGAGAAATATATGGAACGGATTGCGATGGAAAGAAGACAAGGTCCCATGAATGAAGGAACCCGTGCCACAAGAGAGAGAAAAGGCACAGAGAGATGAACCGAGTGAGCCGAAGAGGGAGAAGGAGACAAACGTCCAGAAGAGTTGAAGACTGATACAACAAAAGGATAGATAGAACAAAGCAGCAAAAGCACAAAAGGGTAGAGATATAGCCAAATTGTGACAAGTAAAATGAACCACAAAAGTAGAAAGAGAGTGCGCTACCACTCTGGAAACATGGTTGAGAAGGACCCATGTCATCAAGGTTGAGATTCAGAGCCTGCACAACTCTGGCAGGAAGGAGAACAGTCGAACACGCTGCACAAAAACCATTAAACAAACAGAGTTCAAATTGTTGAAGGAAACTGACAACCAAAGCCAGAAACCACTCTCTCCAAAACCCCCCCTTCATGTACAAACCAGATAAAGAATCGACTGAAACTAAAGGAGAACCACTGAGAAAACACACCAGGTTTCTTGCGCATTTCATTCGGGCTCCCAGCTCGTCGAGGAAGGAAAACACCAGTTCCCCCGCTCTCTCTCCTCGAACCAGTTCCATTGAGGAAGACGGCTCTCATACCGGAGCCTGCAATTTGTTGTTGAGGAGGAATCCAGGCAGGGGAAGAAAACCCCAATGGCTTCCCGCCAGATCTCGCACCAAAAGAGCAAGAACGAACTCGTCCCTGTAACTGCTGTGTCTGTTGGGCTTTTGCCTGCCGTGCCCAAACTGTGAAATCACTCTGTTGTTTCATAGCGTGCTGCTGCTTCAATTGCTGTAACTACAAGAAAAAAGACAAGACTAAGAAGACAAACAAGAAACAAAAAATTCACAGAAAATGGAGAAATTGAAGAGAATAGGTAGAGAAAATAAGAGAGGAGGCTCGAGAGAGAGATTTGGAGAAGAATACAAATGAAAAGGCTAGAGAGAGGAAATGCAGCAAACGGCATAAGTAAAGAGAGAAAGTAGAAAAGAGGAGTGAACAACAGAGAGCACAGAGTGGTAAAGTAGAGAGAGAAACTTACAAGGAAACTAGCTTCCTTGGATTTGTCCGGCAATAAATTTGAAGCCTGCTGCGGAAAAAAAGCTTGATAAGCAGGAGGCTTCACATGAGAAGCACACTTGTTAATGGAACCAGGCCTCTTTGGAGGGCCCAAAAGACCCCGACTGTGGAGCTTCGAAGCTTCATCGTTCATCTTAAGTCTAACAACCTGACCAGCGGCCTCGTAAAGAAGATTCCAAGCATCTTCCTTGTGGTTTAATGGAGTTGAAGGAGGAGAAGAGACTTGAGATGGGCCGTTAGAGCTTCCTCTGCTTCCATTTGAAGCATTGCTACAACCTGACCAGCTACCTATTCCACATAGAGTGGACTGAGGCGAACCAGAGAGAGCAGTTGGCGACTGAATATAGAAATAAAGAACTACTCAGTATAGCCAAATCTAGAGAGAGAGAGAGAAAGAAAAAAACCCTACAAACAGATCATTTGGTGACTAAAGGGGGAAACGCAGACCATGCAAATTCTAAATCTAGAGAAAAAAAAAAGAAATTTGCTCAAAACAAACACATTAGAGCGGAACGACCAAATATGTCCTAAAGAATCAAACATATACATCAAAACCCCAAACATCAAAAATACAAATCTAGAGAGAGAAAGAGAAAAAGTTCACAAGGAAAAACTACTCAAAAGCTCAAGAAAAACCATAGAACATACGCCAGGTGAAAACAAAACCATATCATAGAAGAAAAATCTGAAAAAATGGAGCCACGCTTAATTGAGAAGAGAAGGAAAGGCCCCAAAACCACTTGAAATGAGAGAAAACTATTTGCAACAATAAAATACTCCTCAGAAAAACAATAAATCAAAGGGAAAAGAAGGAACAACGTTTACCACAAAACCAGCGCGAATAAGTCAGGACAAGATATTACAAACTCTCCTAAATCATTTCCTAACTGAAAAGATTCAGATAAACCCACCCCATAAAACCTGGAATAAAGCCCAAGAAAACCATTTGAAAGAAAAACCAAATCCAACAAAATGAGCATGGTCAGGAACGCTTTCTGTCTCTAAAATCTTACCTTCTGGTTTCCAAACCCTCCATCTCTAAGCCATGGAAACTGCTCCATATTCATCTTCTCGTCATCATCAAGCATCGACCCCGCCATCCTATGAGCTAAACCTGATATGTAGTCCTCTTCATCACTCTCGGTCTCGGTAGAACCAACAACCGACTCGACAGGGGAGTAGAGGCTCGAGTCATGACCAAACCCACAGGACCCATCACCGTAAGGAAACTCATGGGGAAAGAAGGCACCAGTACCACCAGAGTGAGAAACCCTCTTGTTCTCCATCCAAAGAGCATCGTCCGCCAAGAACTCAGAGGGCAACCAGAACTCCCCATCGTCCAAATCCTCAGCCATGGCGGAAACGCCCGTGGAAATAAAGAGAGAAAGTGGATAAGCGTTTGAAAGAAACCCTAGAGAGAGAAGAGGGAAGAGAGGTATATGAAGAGAGAGAAAGGGTTTGCTGGCTAGAGAAGTAATAATAATCAGGTGAGGGCAGATGGGGCTGGGCTGGATTTGCAGGAGAAGGGGCCCAATAAAAAGTGCTAAGAAGTGGGAAAAAGAAACGGTTTGCCTAACAAAAGGAGAGCAGAGTGAGAGAGAGAGAAAGAGATAAAGGCGTTAATACAACAGGGGTTAATAAAAAGAGAGGAGAGAGAGAGAGAGAGAGAGAGAGAGAGAGAAGGAGGG